ATAAGGACTTTATATTTGGCAATAAGGCTCCTACTGCTGTAGGCAGCACAAGAATCTCACTTTTGGTATTTAGGCTCCACGGGTGCTGTAGGAAGTAAAGGACCTTATGTTTGATATTTAAGCCCCGCGGCTGCTATAGGCAGTGCAAGGACCTTCTGTTTGGTGTTTAAGCTTCGTGGCTGCTGTAGACAGCATAATAACTTCATATTTTGGTGACTAAACTCCACGGCTGTTGTAGGCAGTGCAAGAACCTATGTCTTAGTAACATTCATGTTATCAAATACCTACACACTAATTCTCTTTATAGCTATAAAATTCCTTCTTGTTATATTCCTGGTATGATATGTTATATGTAGTTTAGAGATTCCTATCTTTTCGGAAGTATCTATTTTTAATTGAGTTTATTGTTTCTTCTATTTAAATTTTGTACTTGTTGATAGTGATAATTCCAGGATCGAGAAGGCATCGTCTGGTTGTATGATTTGTTTGGGGTGAGATATTCTCTTGGAGATATAATCGTTTAAGCATTTTGATATAGAGCCTGTAAAACTTGTATATGATAGCGAATGGAATTCCCATATGTTCTTCCTCGCAAAAAATAAAGTCATCTGATCGAGCAATAGTTGTTTGTTTTCTATGATCACATGACTTATTTCGAGGATTTCTATTGGTTAAGGATATTACCGCGGGAATTTTACTTATTAAAAGTTTTTTATTTATGTTGATAGTGATATCTATAAGAGATTGTTATAAAATTGATATATGCGGGGGAATTTTAATATGTGGAAATTGGTTCTATAGCATGTGTTGATAATAACAAGAGGTTGATATCAACGGGGTTGATATTAATGAGGGACGACTGTATTATGAAGTTTTGATAAAGTTTAGTTGTAAACTTAAAAACTTTTACTAATAGATAGAGATGGGAAAAATACGCATTTTATAATTGCATGTGCATGATATCGCACGATATAATTTTTTGATTTTATATTTTTCTTTCGAAAATATCGGACGTCCTTATGTACATGCATTCTCTTATCGGAATTTTTCGTGCCATTTTCACTCCCATTTCTTAATTCCGCGTGCTCTGACCTAAATTATATATACTTTAATTTTCCTATATAAAATTTAGATGGGATAAAATGCGCATGATTCGGAATCATGCCCATGAAACCAATCTCTACTAATAGCGTATGTTCAATTTTTTGTATAAAAAATTTTTAGCATGTGAAATCATGATAAATGATCTACGTTCACCCTACACTTAAAAAATACGAAATTGCCGAAATTTAAAATAATATAAAGTGTACGTTATTTTTGGATTCTATTTCAAAACTAAATATACTATTTTTTTTAGGTAAGATTTTCGAAATAACGCCCATGTCCATTATTCCGATAAATTCTTATAAAAGTGGAACAACTTTGAAGCCAGTTCTTTAATAATCAAAATAAATCAAAATTTCATTTTCATATTTACTTTATTAGCTGCACTTCTCACAGTCAATGCTATTCCATTCCAGAAAAGAGAGATTGAATTTAGAAGCTGTATTCCTGGTTATGTTTTCAACGTTGAAATGAAACCAAACCCTATCGTTCTTGGAAAAGACGTAACTTTTGATATTTCTGCAACTGTAACTGATGATGTTGGGAATATTGGATATGTCTTGGTGAATTTTATGGACGCAGATAATAAGCTTTTACAATTTCAACCACTTCTTCTTTCTTCGGGCATTAAAGCTAACGAAACAATTGATGGTTCATATTCAATGCCAGTGAAACTTTTACCAGAAAGTATAGAAATTAAAATTTTTTCGCATAGAAATAGTGGTCCAGATAAAGAAGTTGCCAGTGCACGAAGTTTTTAAGGCAATGATCTCATTTTGTTATCTAATTTGGGTTTCTCTTTTGCACATATATTTAATTACGCTGTTACTTTCATTACAGTTTAATTCTTTTTTTTATTTTTTGTAATCAAATATTATCAAAAGATAGAGTTTATAACAAATTATATATGTAGATTTTAGATATGTAGATTTTAGTAGGGTTTATAATTTCAAACCAAGACACTAAAATGCAGCATCATCCATCTCGGTATTTTATTATCACTTTAATACAGTTACTGCTTTCATATTGTTAGCTGTTTAAAATTAAAAGTGCTTACATGGTATATAAGATATGACTCTAATATTTGGTACTATTTAATGTCTATATTTCGAGAACAACCGATCCATTTTCTACCATCTGAATCAAATCAACAGTCTGTAGCATTCGTTTAAACACAGAATCACCACCATTCTCGATTTATATAATGTATGGTGTGATCAAATTATTCTTGCGACCACTGTATTAAAGATGTACTATAGGTAAGATTAACATATGGAAAGTTTCGACATAATAATCAGGCATATGAAGTATAATAAAATTATCAGTTATAATTAGAGATGGGCAAATCGAAGGTTTTTTGAATCTATCGCGCGGCCTGCACAAGCCCGCATTATGATAATTTTCTGCTAATGCGGGCCAGAATTTTTAAATCCCGAAATGTTCCGAACGCCTGTGCAAAGTACACTAGCCATCTCCAGGTGAGACCATCCCAAATTAGGAAATAATTATCCGAGTCACCCGAATGTTACATGATTTTTTTTTTATACGTTTTACAATACTTCTATTA